CTACGGTTGAGGCCATCACATAAGCGAAAGTACAAACACGTATCCAAGATAACACAAGAGTACGATGACATTTCCAGCCCTATGGTGGTGTCTCACTACTGTAACAATAGCACTTAAGGGCACTGAGCTGGCGATCAAGCCATCATCGACATCATGGCGATGTACCTTCATGACACATGCGAAAATACCATTGGATCTCAGCAACAGGTCGAACTTGAACCGACTCAGGCGATACTTTCTCACCAAGAAGGATAATTAAGAGAGGTACATGCATGCTGCTGGGTGCTTCCAAATTAAGTTCTCATGCGTGAAAGTCCATGCGTGCTGGAAGTTGTTCAACATGAAAACCATGCATGCATGAATATAGCCAGACTGCATCATGAACATTTTGAGTTCCACAGCCACATCTTGCCATCCATCTCTGCGGGCATGCGTGTTCTCACGCTGCAGCAGTTGACACGTCTCTACATGTGTGCACCATGTTTGGTGCAAACACGCATGCTAAGCAACGCATGCAAAACCCAAACGCAACGAGCAGAAATCCCACAAGTTGCACCCCGTACTGGCTCCTGCCGGCCCATCACGCCACTACCAGGGCTGAAGCCTACAGAAAGGGAAAGCATGCATGCAGCAAGCCAAACTGTGCAATGCAATCATTCCTGGCTTTTCAAAAAAATTGATTCAAGGAACTTCGCTTCCTCGAATCTTGGCCTCTTCAGCATCAAGCCCTGCTTTGATGGCCGCAAGTCTGGCCTTGTGGTATGCTGTGTCCTTTTTCGACTTCAACTTCTTCTGTTCTGCTGTCATCTTGGTCGACTTGGCTTTGGCCTTTGCTGACGCTTTGGCACGTGCCTTTGGTGCACCTCTGGCTTTCGCCTTTGCCTTCGCCATACCTCTGGTTTTTGCCTTTGCTTTCGCTGATCCCTTGGGCTTAGCCTTCGCCTTTGCACGTCCCTTGGCCTTAGGCTTTGCACTTGCCTTCCCTTTCGCCTTTGCCTGGGACTGTGGTTTGCGACCAGGTCTGGTAGGTGCTGGCAGCCCAGCAGCAGCACGAAGCCAGTGGTCACATTCAGCCGGAGCTTCATCAGCCTAAGTCCATTAAACCATGGCCAGATGGCCAGTGAGCAAGGTCAGTGCCAACATCAAATTTCAAGAGATTCAGGCAAAGTCAAGAAACAGCCTCTCGAAGGTGTTCAGCCGAATCCCCTTCAGCATGGCCATGGGGGAATGGAGCCCCCAAACCATGTCCCATGTCCACATCTTCGTCAGCCCTTTGCGAGCCTTCGTCCATGTCATCACTACATTCACTGCTCACCCCACTAGATTCAGATTCCGACTGTTCCCCAAGAGTTGGTTTCTGTTGTGGGTCTGACAGGTCCACTCCGGGGACAGAAATGCAATCCTCCTTCGTGGGCATGTTTGCATCTTCATGCCCCATCATCTCTGCCACATGCGTCTCTGCGACCAATGACAGGTCAGCAGCTTCCTGCACAGGCGGAAGATCTTCCATCACTTGGGTCTCCACCTGGTCAACACCTGGGAAGCACAGATCTTGAATTTTTAGTTCCCAACCCTTCCAGGAGCAAACATATCTGCACAGCATGCTGTTGCATCTAACAAAATATTTTGAGGGTAGCGCAGACTGCTGGGGGCAGAGTCTCCGGAAAGAACTTAGCGATCTTTGGTACTTTGTCAGCTTTCTGCTGCCTGGACTGCCGAAGCAAGAGCATGAGCTCAAGTTCCTCCATTTCCAGCAGGAGCAGCTGCCGACCTTTCATGCAGCATCAGTAACAATGAAAAAAAATTGTATGCATGCAAACACACTCTCAGCACTGGTGACCAATATTAAATGTCACCCAGCTGCGCTTGTTGTCACGGCAAGTCTTCTCAGGTGTCATCTTGCTCAAGGAGTCACTCCCTGCAATGGGAAGATGAAAACAAATAACAATGCAGCTGCGCACCAGCATACATGAAACAACACATCAAAGCCTGCAGGCTTGGGAGGAGGTGTCACCAAGGTCTCGCCTAAAATTCAAATTCATGGGCATCATTCATGCATGCATGGTTAATCTTTCTGTTTATGAAGTTCGTCCCAAAGCATGACATGCATGTAAGGCCATGAATGCATTTGATACAAGTGGCTAGTCTTTGCTGAGCTTGCTTCAGACTGAAGGTCACGAGATTCCAACTGGAATTTCCTGACCAGTCCACATGCTTTCTCAGGAACTGTCACTAGATCACCATGCTCCAGGTTGGACATGGCTGAAGCAGCTGGGGCCGGCATGGAAGTAGCAGGCTCCGTAGGCCCCACTGACTTGGCACAGCTTGACCCAGTTGTGGTCAAAGTGTCATCTTCGTCTTCCTGCCAAAAAATCGGCAAACCCAAAGGCCTGAGTCTGAATCCACCATACTAAGCACTTTGCAAGCATCCTGCTGGATGCAGCCAAGACACACTGTCAGAAACGCTTGTGGTCGAGCTGCAGGAATCATCATCTGTGTCAGAATCTTTTCCTAGTACAGTGTGATGAACTTGCTCCCAAAGATCCACAGAAACCTGTCTAACCACAAACGCATGCATCATGACCCCAAGTCCTGGCAAGGGCAAACCAGCGAACTTATAGATCTTGCGGATCTCGGGGCATCGCGGTCGGTGTGGGCGCCTTGAAGCTGCAGTCTGTGACATGCAGCTTATATGGTCATGCATGATGTAATGTATGGTTTGCACATGTAAGCAGGCTGCTTGGCAATGCGAGAGAAGGCATACACCATACGCATTGCGATCTTGGCGTGCGCCTTTGCCCGAATGCCTCTGATGTCTGGCTTTGCACCAACCCCCAAAGAAGTGACACATGCAACCCCCCACTGCTTTCTACTAATTGAATGGCTTTTAATCCCAGGGACTGCAGCACTCCATTCCACGTGGCAATGCCAACGCAAAAAATTGCGAGGAGGCTTGTTCAAACATTGGCAGCGAAGGACGCAGACCACAGTGTTTAATGGCCAAGCCAACCACCGTGGCATTCCTTTTCAAATCACCTGGGCATGCATGATAGTTCAGGAACCTGATCTGAACAAACCATGGAGCATGCATTCACACATGTACACAGTTCTCAGGATGCTACTTCGCTTCAACTTTGTGTTGTTGGACACTTCCACAATGGAGTGTTTCAGGGCCATGGCTTTGATCCCCTCATCGTTGGCCCAAGCCGTGGCCAAAACAGCAGCCTGCTCAAAGTGTGCCATTTGCACACACTGTGAAAAATTTGAGCCAGTTCCTATTCATGCATGTTCATGCATGATCATGCATGAAGACCACGACCGGGATCACAAGTAGGAATGCTGTTCTCATGCATGCATGCATGCATGCATGCATGTCATGAGTCTGAACAAAAAGGAACCGTGAATGCAAATCAAGGTGGGGCACACTGAAGCCACGCAGGCTGAAAACCATGCATGACATACACGAAACTCACAAGCTCACCTTTTGAAAAAAGATCTTGCACAAACCACTCTGCACATCTTCTGGGGCAACAACTGCCCATTTCACTCCTGCCATGGTCCCAAATCATGAGCTATATAAGGTTGCAAAGTATCACACATGAATGCAGCATTGACTTTTGATGTCTCCTTCTGCCATCAGCCCTAGGCTGTAAGGCTGAGTTCCCAAGGTAGCCAAAAAAAAATGCTGTAGAGGCACGGGCAAGTGATGCAAAGATCAACTCTCTCCATCAACATCTGCATACATGTTGCGACTGATGCCCAAATAGATAAAACATGTAGAAACATGTCATAAACATCTGGTTTCAACAAATTCATGGAAAACATGCCCCTTTAAAAAAAGGTGCTCGAATTTTGGGTTGAATAAGAATTCTGCTCGATTGCATTTTTTGTGTATCAAAACTTCGTTTGAGCAAGTTTTTCTGTACCAAAAGAAGGTCTAGGATATATATATATATATGGTGATCGATCTAAAGGTACTCGTAAAGAGTTTTAATTGCGAAGACCGTTCATGTTGTGTTGGGAACCCTCGCGAAAGTTTTTTTTCCGAGTTCGCGAAAGTAACATTTTTTTTGCGAAAGTTTTGCGAAAGTTGGATATTATAATCATTATGTGAAGAGCTGCCACCCACTTCCGCCTGGAGTCCGGCAGGAGAAGGGCACCGGAGAATTTCGGTTTGGTTCTGGTTCAGTGCCCTGTGTGGTGTGCTTTTGGACAATCACTTTCCCCTTGATAAGTGGCAGCCGAGCTTCCAAAGGTGAGGCTTCGCAACAGCCAAACACCATGGTCCTGAAGCACATCCTCGCACCTGCCGCTGTCACTGCCTAATGATGATTTTTTAAGTCTCAAGAAACAAGCCCCAAATGCAGCAGCCAAGTTTCCAAAAGTGAGGCTTTGCGAGAGCCAAACACCAAGGCCCCTGGTGTTCGCTTTTCCTTCAATGCGCCTTCTGCTGATGGCCGGGGCCTGTGAATAGGGTTATTTTTGCAAAAGTTCCGCGAAAGTTCTCCGAAGGAGCGGGCGGAAGTCAAAGTGCATGTTGAAGGGGGTGGGTCAGTAGACCTTGCAAAAAAAAACTGATCAGCAACAACCTGTCCTGAGAGCGGATTCCGTGATGCTAGCTGCGTGTTTAAAAAGGCTATCAAGAAGTGATCCGTGATTCTCTGGCGTAATTTGGCAGGTGGTGAACGAATCTTCTTGTTGCCCAACATGGGCCCCGCGAAGGATAAACGTGGAGTTCGCGAAAGTAACATTTTTATTCGCGAGGAACGGCCGTCTGCGGAAAAAATAATTTTGATCAACCATTATATGTATATATTATGGTAACTATAGTTTAATCAAACTCACCGCCTCATTCACGCCTACGTTGCAGAAGCAGTCGATTCTGTTTTCTTCAAGCAGCTCAAACTCGAACCGAACCGGCAAAAGCAAACCTGCTCGCCGCTTTTCCGTCTATTTGGCTAGATTCTGGTAATTTTTGGCGGCTGTGAAGTCTGTCCCAGGATCTGTGGTTGCCAATGTCATGGGGAGAGGCACCGATGCATGACCTATTCGGACTTGCAAGATACTTGAAACCCTATTGTATATGCACAATCTTGGAAGGTGTACAGGCAGACTGGCCACTAGTTTTTTTATTTTGTGATGAATGCTGCAGATGGATTCAGAATGATTCTGAGTTATTGTATGCAGTTTTTGTCTAGTTGTTCAGATTTGTTTTCAATTTTTCATAGTTGTGTAAAGTATGGCTGGCAGAATTTTACTGAAATCAACATAGTTTTGTAGACTCCCCAGTTGTTCTTTTCAAATATTTTTTCGGTGCTTTGGCGTTTCTTTGCTGCTAGGCACGTGTGTACCTGGCGCAGAAGCGCAGACATCCGGCCTGCCGATTTGCCACAATTTGCCAGGCTCAGTCTTGATCAGTTTTCCATTTTCAGCGCATCTTAGTCGTCAGCCAGGCCGAGCAGCGGTGCCTGAATCTCGATGAGATGGATTAGATATGACCATTGGTAGGATATTTGAACAGCGTGACCAAATCGGTATTAAGTTCAGCTTAAGTTCCTTCATGTTCTTTCGTGATCTAGGTGTAGCAAACGTTGCAACTGCAGCTAGGCAACGCAAGCAGTGTACAGAAAATATGTCCAATCCACCTGCGTCCCTCTTCCAAAACGGGGGAGAGATGCTGTGCAAAGATGTTCAAAGCGATGTTTCAAATACAGTTATATCTTTGCATTGCAGATGTACAAAGACAGGGTCCAAAGCACTGATCCTGGAAATGAACCAATGCGAATCATTTTCCAAAGGCACGCACATTTTGAGAACAGAACAGCGTGTTTCCATGCAAGTTCAATTTCTATTGTCCCTTCATTCTCCGAAAGGTGGCAAAGAATGCCTTAGCGCCACAGCGCCCATCACGTCAAATAGTCAACCTTCCTTCGTCTTTAAATGAAGATGCACATGAGCTCATATTCCCGAACCTTGGTGACCCGTTCTGACCCAGCTTTCTTGTAACTTTGATTGTGTGTATTTCATGTGGCCTATTTGCCATTCATTTGGTGCACCCGTCGTTGTCCTTCCCCTAAAGTCTTCTCGGCTTGAGGCAGGGGAGGCCAATGAGGCCACGCATTGAGGAAAATAGAAGGAGTGTATACACTTGTCGGGGCAAATATGAGTGTTTGGATCATGTGAATGACAACAATTTTGTGCATTTCTCTACTTGGCGGAGAGTAATCAAAATGAAGCGAACGCACGTTTACGGACTAGGACGGTGTTTCCGATGGTACTGGGTCATTGCGTTATATAAGTCGTCCGGGTCGTCCGGAAATCGTGTGCCCGTTGTGTTTTGGATGTTTCCTGTGCAACTCGCATTTTAGGAGTTGTTGGGAGAGATTGTTTTTTTGCGTGTGCCCCATTGCATTTGGGAAGATGTTGGTATGTCCAAGTACGATTTCAAGATTTACAGTACGTGCCGATAGGGTTTGACATTCTTGGCATTCATTGTCGACCCCTTTCAAGAAGTGCCACTACTCCGATCATGTAAATCATGTAAGAACCAGCACATGTGCAGTGTACGATCCTGCTTACCAGGCTGTGTCATTGTATTCTCGTGTGCGAACTCACATATCCAACACGCTGTGCCATTGGGTCTAGCTGTAGGGATGCATGGTGCGCACACTGTTGCCCACGTTGTGCCATTGGATTCCCTTGCTCGAATCTCCCAAAATATACGTATGACAAGATTGAGATTTTACTACAGCGTGCGCAAAGAATCCGATGAAATCAACCTGTTCTGAAAAGGTCCCTGCGAAACCTTTGCCCATGGTGTTTTGATATGTTTTGGTTGACTTTTCGCGGGATGCCTAACTTCACGCGTTTGAGATGTGCCCATGGGGATGTTTGACTTTAGACGGGTATGCCTGACATAACCCTTGACCCAGTAAGCAGAAAACCCGACTTGAGAAGCAAAGCGTCACAAATATCTGAAATGGGCTGCAAAGAATCATTGCTCGGATCCTTGGAAGAGCCATGACGTTGCAGCGCATGGAGCGCCACCAACAGGTTCCGGTCAAGGCGCGAATCCCAGTCAGAGGTGAATCTTCAAAGACTCGCACAGTTCAAGGTGTTCTGGGCAGATGCCAAGGAAAATGGCAGATTTGAAGATGCGACAGTGCTACAGTATACTTGATTGGAAGGCTTTCAAGATTTGCACTGCTTCAGCACCAATCACTCAAAATTACGAAAAAGGATTCCGCTGACACTGAATGCTGCACGCAGTTGGATTTGGTCGGACAAAAGTTGGATTTCAACAATTTCAACACTTCAACTTACTGAGGAGAACACAAAACGCATCTAGCATCAAGAGACATCCTGAGCGGAAAATGAAGGGCACCCAACTCATGTTTCTGAGTTTAGTGCTGGAAATTCGGAAAGGCTGCAAACGGAATGATGATGCTGATGACGATGACGATGATGATGATGATGATGCTGATGATGATGCTGATGGCAATGATGAAGATGAAGAAGAAGAGTGATGAACGATGACTGAGAAATGTTGGATGATGGAAGATGGATGGTGATGATGATGACGACGACGATGCAGTGACGGTGGCGGTGAGACAATGAAGGTGAAGGTGACGATGGCGATGTCGATGATGATGATGATGATGATGACGATGATGATGATGATGATGGTGATGATTGATGATTGATGATTGATGATTGATGATTGATGATTGGTGATTGGTGATTGGTGATTGGTGATTGGTTGATGATGATGATGATGATGATGACGACGATGACGATGCCGATGACGATGACGATGCCGATGACGATGACGATGACGGTGACGTGGGTGATGGTGATGGTGATGGTGATGGTGATGGTGATGATGGTGCTGGTGCTGGTGCTGGTGCTGGTGCGGTGCTGGTGATGGTGATGTATGGTGAATGGTGAATGGTGAATGGTGAACGGTGAACGGTGAACGGTGAAGGAAAATGAACGATAATGAAGGATAATGGATGATAATGAGTGATGATGAATGATGATGAGTGATAAAGAATGATAATGAATGATGGAGAGTGATGAAAATATGATGAATGAATGATGATGATGACGATGATGATGACGATGATGATGATGATAAATGGTGATAAATGAGTCTTTTCCCGATCTCGGACTTTGCAAGTTGCATTAAGATCCCGAAGTGGCAGGTCACAGCTTTCCGTCAGTTTGCTTCAAACCTTGTGACCCAGCTGATGGAGCAGCGTGCTGGCGGCACTTGTTTGTCAGCTCCGTGCCTCCTTGAGTTCTTCAATGTTTTTTCAGTTACTGTAGCATATTTTGGATACTTTTTCGGTTCAGAAAAGTCTCGCTGAAAGTCCCTTCCACAGCTTTGCAAGGATTGCAGGAACTGCATGCTGCATGACCAACATACAGCGATTTGCTTCTTCAGACCTCACGGCATAGCAATGCACCATTTCGATGCAGCTGCTTGCATTGCTGAAATTTGAGGTTATTCTCTTGTGATGTATTGACTACTATGTTTGCATGAGGCTTTGCGTTGAATTTGAGCGCGAGGCTGGGAATTGGCGACAATTTCAGCATGAACAGCACACAGGAAGATTGTGGCCAAATGAAACAGCCAAAGAGCCTCGAAAGTTGATGGGTTCAAGCCGGAAGGTAAGCACACTCACAGAGGACTTGACCGGCAACAATGCACATTGCCAGCATATGCCACAGTATGGAATGGATTTGAATGGTGCGTTGCAGTGTTAGAGTCTGCTGTGTTGACATGAACAGACATGCAACAATTTGATTAAATTTCAATGACTGGTCACCTGATATCTTCCGATATTTTGCGTTGAAGCCACTTGGGCAACGGCGTCAACGGTGATATTTTGAAGGACTTGGTGCTGTACCAGGCAGAACTTGCCAGGCTTGCTCCACAATGTCCACACTCCATGGTTCGTCGAGAGATGCAGAGTCCGCGAGATCGCAGACTTTGTTGCAAACTGTTGCAAAGTGACACATGTTTTGATATTGTTTCACGTGTTTTTACTGTATGTTGCTATTGGCTTTAGTTTTGTGTTCATTATATCATGTTTACTCTTTGTTCATCTCAAGTGCTTCTTGGATTTGCCCCAAATGTGTTGGTAAGTAAGTCGGCAAACTCGGCGAATGATTCCCCAGCAGTTGTGCACTCTGCATCAAGCGGGTTCATTTTGCCGGCTGATCTCAAGGACTCTCTAGACCTCAGGAGATTAAGTCTGGTTAAGTGATGTTAAGTGCGAGGTTGGCAGCAGAGGTGCCATTTTGCATGGGGTTGTGCAATGTTGTGAAAGGGGCCCCGATACGCAGCAATATCATATATGAAAGTATATGAATCATGTAATATCAGTGATCCGATTCAAATTTTCCTGAAGGTGTGGAGAACTCTTGGCTCACCAGCTTGGCCAAAAGCTCAAAATGCCAGAGACCGTGACACAAACTTCAACCGCTTTACTAAGGGCATCTAAGGGAGGTATATGGCATCATTTACTGTACTACCTATCATGAACTATTGTAAATTACTGTGAACTAGTGTGAACTATTAACGATTAGTAGCTATGTTGAATTCTTACGACCTACGATTAACATGTATAAACTATAGTTCGCGATTTTGAACTAGTGTTAGCGACTTTTTTGTTGCACCTTTATAAACTCTTTTAAGTAAGTTCGCCCCATCCTGGACGTTCTCCCACGTCCAAATGACACACCCAGACCATATATGACAATATCATATGGTTGACACAAAAGGATGACTGAAAACACTGGCTATAGAGTTTGACTTTAGGTTTTAGGATTTAGGGATTCAGGGTTTAAGGTTTTCTTGTTTTGGACAGTTTTTGAAAAGCTAGCCATACACAAGGCTTTGAGCATGTCAAAGGAAATGCGGGATCGGCCAGGGCAAACGTCAGGGTTGTTCAGAGTATATAATTGCGGTTAACTGTCATTCACTACTGTTAAGATCTAATAAACATATGTTATGTATGTATCACTTATCAGCGATTATGTAGCATTTGTCAAGCGTTAATATTATTACCTATACGCATGATCATTTCGTCAGCTCCATAAGATCACATAGTACGAATGTATCGCAGAGTTAAAGGGCAATTCTCAGGGTATGGAAAAGTACTTGAAAATCAGCGGAAGCTAAGCCTTGCCTAGGGCGCGAACGGCAGCTACATGGCATGCTCGAAAACATTGCCGGCAATACTGGAAATCTCGCGGCCTCTGCTGGTGAGCTTGGAAAAAGCGGATCGTTTGATCCTCAGGCCCTGCTTTGATCCTTAACGCATCCAAATGTATCATTCCCCACCTGCTAGGTGAGGCTCTCTAGATTTTATCAGAGTTACTTCTTTACTTCCCTCCTTCCCTCCTTGCCTTCCTTCCGTTCTTGCTTCCTCAACTGCGAGCTCTAGATCTCAGCGGGCACTGCCGGAACTCAACCTCAACTCGAGCTCCAGATCTCAGTGGGCAGCGCCCATGTCAGAGAGAATGTCAGACTAGATGCCAATAGAATGCCACACAGAAGGCCAGATAGAATGTCAGATCAGATGCGAGATAAAAAAAACCGAATGAATGCCTGAATAGATGCCAGGAAGAATGCCCAGAATAGATGCCAGAATAGATGCCGGATAGAATGCCAGAAAGAATGTCAGATAGAATGTCAGAGTATATGCTAGGAAGAATGTCAGAATAGATGTGCCATAAATACTTCCAGGTGGTATGTCAGAAGCTATGTCAGAATAGTGTGTGTGTGTAAGGGCGGGGATCACTCGAAGAAAAGTTTTTCCATTAAGTTTCAAACCAATTCAATCAACTCAAATCTTTCTATTTGGGTTCTACTATGTTGTACTTGTTCTTAGAAATTCGTTCTCTGAGAGTTGGATACGGAATGGAATTGCGATCTTCAGGAATGAAGCATTTCGACGACAAATGCATGAACTCGTCGAGCAGCTGCCAAGATGCACTGGTCGAAATATCAAGGAGGCAATTGTGTTTTGCTCTATAAGGTGTTTTATTCATCTTGATGATGGTTTTTGATTTATCATGTTTTGTTGTTCTCCCCGTTGGCAAAGGCAAGCGTTTATACACATGTTTCTCTAGTTCTGACAACCCAAACTAGTCTGTTGTACAATATTGTTTGCTGTAATATAGGGTTTCATTTGTGTCTACGTTCATGTCAAAACAGGATTCCTTGATGTTCGGTTGCGGAGGCTATTTGGCCACAGCACGCACTTGCTGAGCAATACGGTCAACGGCGTGAATGAGGCCACTTTTTGTTGAGATTGCAAAGAATTGGGAAGTGGGTCCCAAGCTCTGCTTTTGATAAATTTCACATGTTGGAATCACATTTTGAATCCAGCAGACCTTATGTCTGGAGTTCTGTCTGTATAATTTGACTCTGCGCCAAGATCCAGTGCAGCAGCACAAATCAAAGTAGATCAGTTTGGAATTCAGGCACATTCCGTGGCTTACAACCACTTGACACTCGCAAAAGCGAGAAACTTGGAGAACGGTTGTGCGGTGTGATTTGGCAGCTTGCTTTTCAGGGTTGTCTGCACAGACTCAATCTGGCGTTTATGGTTCACACATCTTGGCTCACATCTTGGTTCCGAGTTTCTAAGGAATTGCAAAATCATGCCCAGAACACTGAGCAGGAGTTGAACTTTGGCATGCGTTTCCGTTGGTTGATGCTTGAAGCATTCTCTAGTCAAACGCTGTGATATTGTTTGAGGATTGTTTCAGTGAAAGCTCAGGAATCGAATCATGTCTCTACTTGGTGCCTCTCCAGTAGTTTCTACCCCTCGCAGTGAGATCTCGCAGGCGTGCAAAATCGCAAGAGACCGTAAGCAATCATGAAAGAATGTTTTAGTTCCTTAGGATCCTTTCTTGCTCATGCCTGTTAGAAGTTCTCTGGTTTTCATGGTTTCAGTCCTGCACAGATGGTCAACACGTAATAACACGTAGCAAGGCGTATGGATTACAGCTGACAGGATATCTGGTTGGCTCATGTTCAGTAGTGGAGTAGGAACACGTGGGATACTTGCCCGAACCCCAGGCCAAAGCAATACCAGTCCCTACACACCCGGTCCAAACATTGAGCCTCTTCAGCAATGGAGATTGTGCTGCAATTAAGAGAGGGTGCAAGTGATTAAACATATTAAACTGCATCTCCGTGGGCGCCAGACCTATTCATTCTGCAAGCTGTGCTTGAGGACCACCGGAAGTCCTTTTCCACCAGGCCAGAAAGTGCGAGGGAGATGAAGAATCCATCGGGGGACCCTGATAGATTTTGCATGTTATACAATTGAAATATTCATGATATTTCATGATTCATTATTCTTATTTATGATATATTGATCAACCCTGAGCTCTTTGGACTCTTTGGCTGTGGCGGACTGAGTTTGCATCCCCATAGGCATGCCTAGACAGCTGCCGAGTCCACCAGTGCTTGGGACAATGCAGGGTACCGAGATTCAGTGTGAATAGAGGGGAAACGGGATGAAATGTGGCATTGCGTGAAGAACTGAATGCGTTTAATGCGTTTGGATCCTTCCCTGAATGCTACAAAAGGTTGCCTCTACGTGTTTTGTGCGAACGCCTGTTTTGACATTCTTTTTGGATCTTGCAGGAATATGGCTATGATGCCTGGGACTGCCAGGAACGGAGGCGCCAACTGCTGTCAAAGCAAGAGAAAAATGTACAGATCATTGAGGTCAATTACGGACTCAGAGAGAGAGAGAGAGAGTGAGAGAGAGGAGCCAAGCATATAGGTGTATGCATTTGGATGTATTTGGTATATTTACAGAAAGCTGCAGGCCTATTTTCGGATATGTTTGAAGGATCCCCAACCAGGGTAGAAAGTAATGTGCGTATCAATCATGCAATTTTGGCTCATTTTGGATATGCCAAATGTTATTTGCAATCTAAACCAATAACTAATCAACAACCAATCATTATATTTCAAACACTCATCAATAACCCATCAATACATTTCAGTATGTATATAGATGCCTATATACATATACATATATATGTAAATATTGTATGTAACATATTATATATAATATGTATCATATACATATATATTTATATATCAATATCATGTTTATATATATATATATTATTGTATATATACAATATTATTATTTATTTATTATTTACTATATATTATATATTATATATTATCTATTATATATTATCCATTATATATATAAAATAAGTTGCATATTATATATTATATATATTTATTATATATATATATTATTGTATATTTATATATATTATATTGTATAGTTATTTATTATATTGCATATATATATATATATATATATTATTATGTTATATTATGTATCTTTTAATATGTTATATCATACTATATTATATTATATTATATTGTATTGTATTGTATTGTATTGTATTAAATAATTTATTGTGTTATATTATATTATTTTATATTATATCATATTTTTCTATTATATATGATTTATATTCTATATGATATATTATTTTTTTGATTATACTATACTATACTATATTATGCTATATTATATTTTATTATACTATATTATATTTTATTATACTATATTATATTATATTATATTATATTTTATTATATTTTATTATATTATATTATATCATGTTTTATTATATTATATATTATGCTATATTATATTGTATTATATTATATTAAATTATATTACATTACATTATATATAGAGTGTCGGATTAGATGTGAATATCAAAGGATGTCTTTGCATTTTGCATATTTTGCGAAGGCAGGGGGATGAAGTCGATGGGCTAAGCACCTTGTAGGAGCTGTTTGTGGAAGTCCAGGCAGCGAGGCACAGGACTCAAGCCACACGTCGGGAAAGTTCTCAGCGTTGCCATCCACAGACGTGCGAAGATGTGCAACGTAGATTTAACATGAGTGAACCAGGAACTGATGAATCATGTTGTCAGACTCTTTGATTGACCACCTTTGTTTCTTGAAGCTCTGCGTGCTCGCTTGATTTTGTGGAGGGATTGATTGCTGTGGAATGCTGTGGACCATTGCAAGGTCGAATCGAACTGTATCAAATGCGGCAATGCATATGCAGCTGACTCCATTTTTTGCCGCAGATGTGGTCACAAGCGAATGGAGGTGCGCACACACTTGCTCAGAGTTACTATCTATGGGTTGCAAACTGAAAGCTGCAGCATTTGTCGTGAGATGCATTTGGGGCCTCCCAAGTAGTTTGATTTCTACAGATCAGCGCACGCTTCTGCATTGCCCGAAGTGGTTCCAAATGTATTTGTTTTAGGATCACAAGAGGACACCCTAGCCTGATGTACAGTATCACAAGAGGAAATCTAGCAAATTTGATTGTTTGGATAAACTTTAAATGTTTGACACGGTTTCAACTTTTGTTCAGGTGGGACGGATTTGGTGAACGCCAGACGAAACTGTATAGTTTTGATATGTTTTCATGAGACAGAGAGCAAGAGGTATATATATTCATACAATTTCATACAAAAATGAGGGCATCACAGACCCATTGGCCGATGACTGACTAGCGGCCACTCATCCACCTCTTTGGGCTAGCTGCGCTCAGTTGCTTTCAAGTTTCGGCATGCTCATCCAATTTCTGATTTCTCTTCTATTGACTGTGTTGACCTTCCAAAAGTATCCAAAAGTGGTCATAATTACTCCCTGCGCCTCGCAAGATTGTAGAAGTCATCATACATCAACGCTCCGGTTGCCAAAGATTCTTGTATATAGTTGGTCTGCCCAACAATTTGCTACAATTCAAACCAGTGCAATGAGTAACTGAGTAATTATATAAACAATAAGATTCTTGCAGAACAAAATCTTTTGGAGTCATACCTGTTTGGTGCTGTAGCCTCTCAGTTTTGGATGTTGCAGCCTTCTTTGCATCCGATGGTCAAACGGCTTGGGAAGCGAATATAAACCATTTTACGACCAAGCCGCGGGCCGCGGGGAATTGTTATTTTGCCAATTCAATGTGTTTGCGTGATCGCACATACTAGTCGGTGGCACTTCTGGCAACAGACAGGGCCATTTTGACACTAGTTGTCTAGTACCTGCGGGCATTCCCAATCAATTGCCATTCCCATAGAGGTCTTGCATTTGCCTCCACATATGTTGCCACCACAAAGAGAGTTCCCCAAAGGTATCCAAGTGCCCCCAGTGATCAGTTTAGCCTTTTTTCAAGTTTTGTGGAACGCACACTGGAGCATGTTGTCCAAAATTTACAAAGTCTACGAGTCTACAAATGCATTGATGAATATTGATGATCAATTGATGTCTATTCACCTTGCACCAACATCTACGCACAGTGATAGCTTGACGACTTTGCAAACCGGGTACTACTTGAATCTGATGAATATATTTTCTGCAAATGACGGGGGGCTCGTCCGAATACAAAAGACATGAGTCCTATGTCATGTCCTTATCGTGATTTTTGGGGGGTCGATCCAGGTGTATGTATATATATTATATACGTAGTGCCAAGTCATGACAATGGCAACTCCTTTGTCAGGATGAAGAAAGAGGATAGTATGTGAATCGACCTATTTTTTCCTGGATGCAGAAAGGTATAGTGACAGTGGAGTAGGTGCCCAAACATCCTGTGACATGCTGCGACATGAAATGCAATCTGTTGCTTTTTGCACCATGATGACTAGGAGCTAGGAACGCTTGCACTTGTTCCAAGTGTTAAATATGTTAAAGGTTTCGTCAAAATAGTTGTTTTTCTTCGTTCTCCAGTTGGTCAAATCTACTTTTGTAACCGTTGTCCTGACGCATATCCTCAAATGCAAACAAACAAGCATAAAGATCATAAAGCAAACTGTCCAAGAACTGCAAGAAAACGACGAACAGCTTCTAGCTGGCGCTGGCAAAGGTGCATGGACGCATGTTTGGTTTTGCACATGAGATGGGACTTGCCCACCCTTCACCCCCCTTTGAGAACACACGGGCATGAAGCAGAGGCACCCATAGCCCCCCCAAACAGCAGGGACGAGGTTATATATTGTAGGTTGCAGCAGACGGCCAAAAAATGAACCTGCGAACACACGTCATTCTAAGATATTCTAAGTCATTCTCGTTCTTAAAACCCAGCACAATGGCCGACTCAGGGGGGTTTGTCACGGCATGTGTGCCAGCATACAGTAGCAGCTGATTCTTTTTGGTGTTAGAGATCACAGAGCAAAACACATGCGCACACACACACACATGATCACGCGTGCCTTTCCAATACTCTTCAGAAACCGGGGAACATTGGACTTGTCCCCACAGCGGGTATGCTTTCAATACGTGCCAAGGAAGCGTCAGTGTTTGAGGCCCCGGCCTTTGTTCCAAAAGCATGTGCAACTGTGCAAGCCACAAATAGCCTTGATGGTTCATGTCTTTGAGAGGCCACATCTGAGTAGATAGAAATCGTAACATCAAGAGACTTTTTGGAAGCAGAGGAAATAGTTTTTGACGACAAAGCAACTGAATCAAACATAGAGACTAGTTCAGCAGTTGAAAGCAGACACTCATTAAACAGGACTAGTTGTTTGTCATGGTCCTGAATGGATCGCACTGCAAATGGGAAAAAACATTGTTATTTTTGTTTGTTTTTGTCTTTGGCACCGTGCTGGCATGGGAAAAAACTGAAACAGGATGACTTACTTGCAACTAGCCACAGCCCCGTCCTGTGTCTTGTTGTTTTCATGTGGATTTTGCTGATATATGCCAACATAAGTTGCGTGCCATAATTATTATTTGTAATGTCCCTTTAATCCTTTGTCATGTGTCAAAATGTGCGTGGCCTTCACCTAGTCCTAAGTCATGTGGGTTTGCAGAGTGGCCAGGGCTAGCGCCCAAGTCCTGTGTCGTAAGTCACGAGTATATGGCCTGAGAATATGTGAGAGGCATCGCCAAGCCATGGCAAGATTGAGGTTGTGACTTGCGCTTCCCGACTGCAAAAAGAAAGAAGATGAAGGAAGTAATATACGTAGCCATCGAGAAGTGGGGAGAAAGCATCCAAGCGAATTCTGAGGCTCGATGTGGAAATGCATATGCTGATGCAGACTCGCAATTCTGCAGAAGATGTGGACATAAACGCCACTGAGGGGCTTCGCAGGACCATTGCTGTTGAGTTATAACGTTGAAGTTTGCTTCCTAGGCAAGAATGGACCGGCTAAGCCAAAGGTCAGGAAAACTTTGTGGAAATGTGATCAATTAGTTCTCCACAACTTTTGGATTGCACCTAGCCATTTTGCCATTTTTGATTCAAGGTGGGATGCTTTGCCAAGTTGCTAAGAAATCACAGTGTCGTTGTCCAACGCCTGCTTTAACCATTCATCGAAAAATTCGGAGCGGGCGCTATGTACTACATACTTCTACATACATCGCATACCATTGCATTACAGTATCGCACATTAGGTCACATTACCTTACACTACTACGTTTCATCAATACACGAACGCCTTTTTTTTGCCCTAATCTCAAATCTCAAATGCGGAATGCAAGGAGCCCTTGTTGAAACCTTTGCAAAAAGAGCTGGCCAAGAGGCAGTTTAGGGTCGCGCTACAAAGAGATAGCAAGTTATTCTCTACTCCAAGTCAACTGTCCAGAACTGAGAAAGCCTTAGCGATAAACCGGAGTCGCAATTCTGCAGAACCGGTCGTTAGAGGGATGGGGGGGGAGTGTTTTTATTGGCGGCGGGTTGTTGTTAATTGGGGGGTGTTGTTAATTGAGGGGGAGTTGTTGTTAATTGGAGGGGTTGCTGTTAAGGGAGAGGTGGTTGTTCAATTGGCGGGGGGGCGGGGCTGGTGTTCAATTTTGGGTCTTGCAGCTTGTGCTGGCCTCTGCGCTCCCTTTACATTGTCTCCGGGAAGCTCATTGCCACAAAAATAGTTCACGGGACACTTTCTTGGATTCAAATGGTCAACAGGAAGGGTTTTTCATGCCTTTTCAAAACCAAATTGGTATACGGTAGTTTTTGGGGTTCAAGCTGGATTTGATTGGCGACGCTCTTGGACTTTACGTGGGATCCGGTTCAAAAGGAGCTTTGTTTGAGTTTCAGATAGTTCCAGTTTAGCAACCGGTGCGTTCCCCAACAGCCGCAACGGTTTTTTTTACAAATCTTTCTGAAGCGTGCTCCGAATCCAAGCGCTGGAAACACCTCAGCTGGGTTTCCGTGAGTTAAATGGCCGCAAATCCTGTTGAACCTGACCTGACTCTGCACCAAAGCCTCCCAGACCTTCTCCGGAACCCTGTTGAACGTGACTTGGCTCTGCACCAAAGCCTCCCCGACCTTCTCCAGAACCTTCTCCGAAACCCTGTTGAACCTGACTTGGCTTTGCACCAAAGCCTCCCAGACCTTGTCCGGAACCTTCGGAACCTTCTCCGGAACCCTGTTGAACCTGACCCTCCCGGAACCTTCTCCAGAACCTTCTCCGGAACCCTGTTGAACCTAACCTATAGCTCTGCACCAAAGCCTCCCACACCTTCTCCGGAACCTTCTCCGGAACCCTGTTGACCTGCCTGTTGAACTTGACCTGGTTCCATACCAAAGCCTCCTAGACCTTCTCCGAGAACTTTCTCAGGGACCCTGTTGAACCTGACCAGACCTTCTCCGGAACTCTGTTGGACCTGACCCGGCTCTGCACCAAAGCCTCCCGGAACCTTCTCCCGAACCCTGTTGAACCCGACTGGCTCTGCACCAAAGCCTCCTAGACCTTCTCCGAAACCTTCTTCGGAACCGTGTTGAACCTGACCCGGCTCTGCACCAAAGCCTCCGAGTCCTTCCCCGGAACCTTAATCGAAACCCTGTTGAACCTGACCTTCTCCGGGAACTTTCTCCGGAACCCGGTTGAACCTGACCTGGCTCTGCACCAAAGCCTCCCAAACCTTCTCCGTATCCCTGTTGAATGTGACCTGTCTCTCCACCAAACCCTTCCCGACCTTCTCCGGAACCTTTTCTGGAACCTTCTCCGGAACCCTGTTGAACTTGGCTTTGCACCAATGCTTCCTGGAACCTTCTCTGGATCTCCGGAATCCTGTTGAACCAGGCCATACCAGGCTTGTCTCTGCACCAAAGCCTCGCAGACCTTCTCCGGAACCTTCGGAACCTTCTTCGGAACCTGGTCTGACCCGGCGCCTGCACCAGTGAACACCGGAGCTATTCTGGGCTGAAGACCCCATTAGTTTACGCTGTTAGGGAAAAAACCCGTAACAGAGCAAATGAGTGTCACAAGTGCATATGTTTCTGCACGGGCTGTCTCAAAAGACAGATTGCGCAGGAAAAGAAAACGCCTTCTGGGTCTTTCCTTCAGCAGTCCCTTGCAACTATGTTTTTTCATGTGTTTCACCCATGGGAATTTGTCTTCGCATGTTTTCGCATTTGCTTGCAACTATACTTGGGCATTGGCGATGTGGAGCAGCTCAGCAGACAAAAAACCTTGCACACATCGTCCAAAGTTGACCAACAGACGATCAGAATCGATCAGGGGTATTGCCTCAAGCATTGTCGCTTTGTTTGCTTGTGGAGGACTTTTTCGATCCCGGCAAGCAAGAAGCCAGTGCTCAAAGAAGTGCAAAATGTTGTCATCATCTGCAAGAAAAATGCCTGGTGTTCATTCAAGAATGCAATGGAAGGTCAAGTTCAGAATTTGCATATATCGTGTTTTTGTTGTGTGTTTATTTCCCTTTTGTGTACAGGGAAAGTGCTGTTTGTTTCCCAGACGGTCCGTACATGTCAGCAGTGGGGATGTGTTTGATCTTATGCCGTTGACTTTTTGTAGATAGCATGTTCACTTTACCGAAGTGTTTGGTTTGCCCAGGTTTCTTTTGCTCCACAAAAATCATGCATAGAGGAAAAGCAAACACATATAATATATTTATATTTATATGTAATAGTAATAATAATAATACTAACAATAATAATAATAAGAAGAATAATTATATACATATATATATATATACATATATATATATATAATGTGAACAAGCAAAGTCTTCGCCCAGCACAAACCATAGATTTCGGATGATTTCAGGCGTTGAGCAGATTCCAAGATGGAGTCCTGTAAATTGAGGTGAAAGTACTGGGTAAGTCAAGGTGATATTGCAATGACGGCTTCGCAATCAAGCATGCAAGAGCTGCTGAAAAAGTCCCAATCCGAGGCAACAGCTGCCATTGCCACGTTTGATGAATTCGAAGTGTGTCCCTTTGATATTCTAATTAGTTTTTCTAATTTGTTTATGTGCGTTCTTTTCTCTCAATTCTGTAACATTTGTCCATTCGGATTCACAACCCTGTTCTTTTGCTACTTTTCTTTCCGGATTTGACTGACGTGCCCACTGTCTGTGCCCACTGTCTGTGCCCACTGTCTGTGCCCACTGTCCACAGTCCAACATTCACATGTGCGAGGGCACCTTTTGTTTTGCAGGTGGCGACGGCAATCCTTGAAGAGTTGCAAGGCTGCGCGCTCCGTGAGGGAGAACTTGGTCCGAGTAGGTCACCCAACCAAGGAGCATCGCAGTGGCTCTAGTACTGGCTCTAACAAAAGCATCAAAATTCCAGGCATTGGCATAAACGAATATAAACGATGCAATCCACTGCAAGAGATACATAGATACTCTCCACTGCAAGAGTATATAGAGTATAATTACATCAAACCTTGGATGCACCCAATTACACTGGTAATTTACGTTACATGCACATAATGTCGCATGAAAATAATCAATGATTATAATTGCACTTAACTCAAGATATATAATGATATATATAATATATATATATACACATGTTTGGTGCCCCAGTTCCTGATTCCTGTACAATTTCAGATTCTCCTTTCTTTCTTGCTCTGAATTGATTCACCGTGACACAAAGCCCGCAAGCTTTGAGCACTGGCAAGTAAGTCCTAGATGCATGGCATGTATAATTCAATATGTATTCTGATTATTCTGTATGCAGTATACAGCTGATTATGCTGATTCCGATTGATTCTGATGTGTTTCTGTGTTTCCTCGTGTGTATTTTGACCGATCAAATCTTGCCTCGCGAGAGGTCAAGCCAAGAGCCTGCCACAAATTGTGCTGCGAATCCAAAGGTGCCCCAGAGCGCTTGAATCCAAAGAATCATCAGAAAATATCAGAAATATCAACAAAATCCTTTCCAGCCTTTCCCACCCTTTTCATTCTTTCCCCATTATTCCCCATTCAGAATCAACAGAATGTGATGCACTATTGGAAAAGTCCCCAACTTGCAAATGCAAAAATCAAACTACTGAGTAAGTACTGGGGAGGACTGCATGATACTGTATGTCCGAGTTGTGATGGATCTTATGCTGCTTGCCTTGCTCAGAAATTGACCCACACTGAGGTTACAAACCGGGTCGAATGCTCCTCACAGCAACTATGCGCTTGAGCCTTGGAAAGCGAACTGACAAGATTCCAAGGCTCGGTACAAGATTTCCAAGGAGATACACTCGGTACAAGCCGTCCTTGGGTTGCGGCGCTTCGGGTTTACTCGTCATGACAAAATCTCAAGAACAAGAATGGCAACAGTAATTTGCAAATCTAATTAGTACTGTATAGTAACAAAAGCTGTAACTCTCACTTTGCGCTGCTTGCTTAGGTATGATCTTGTACTTCCGTGACCTGGAAGATGTGGTGTTGGGATGCATGAATGCGCATGTCAGGAAGATAAATGTTAGTGAACAAATCTGTGGTACAAGCAAGACAATTATCACCAATTGTCTTTGTCAAGGACAAGTTGTTTCGACGTGTAAGAATCCAGATTAGATCCGATTAAGAAGAAAGGGCTTGAAATGCAGAAAGACAGAAAAGAACAAAGAAGCAAAGGAAGACCACTCTCGAAGTGTGCGGAAGCCATTGACTTAGCATGTTTTTTCATGTCGGTTTCTCGACACCAGGTACTTGCTCATATACCTGTCGGCCGATCAACAAGCAGATATTTCCGTGTCAGCAGCTTGGATTTTTGGTCGAGGAAGTCTGACACCCTAAAGGGTCACCAGGCCTGATTTGTCTTCTTGCTGAATCTTGCTGATACGCTTGCCTAGGTCTGCAGACCCATTTGTGGCATTTCCAATGGAAGTTTGGCTGCAGCGGGATGGGACGGCGAGAGCAAGACTTGCAAGAGCTGATGACTGCTGATGTGTCATGATGTGTCCAATGTCCGATGCTGAATGGGTTTCAAGATGTTTCAAGATGTTTCAAGGCAAACTTCCTGATGTCAAAGGGTTTCAAGGCTGGCAGCTCTTGGCAGGAGAAAGGTGGAAAGGTGCTTCAACAGGTATGTGTGTGTGTGCAAAAGATGACAGGTCGTCCGAGAGACTGAAGAGGCGTTGAAGAAGAGGCGGACCTGCAAAAATCCTCAAGTAATTCTAAGTCTAGATTTCATTTTTCCTAGTCCTTACTGATTCTTACTGATTCTTTTAATTTGCGTGGGATACGGTTCGGACAAACAAAGAAAAGAATAGGGATCGGCATTGGCATATAGCAAATCCCGGACTTGTAACCATCCAGTTAGTCTGCGAATAGAGAACTTCAGAACTCATTGCGTTTTGACAGACATCAACCATGAGCAACCCAGCAAATCCCAGCAACATGTTCAAGAAAGCTGAGACGCATTGCAACACTAGCGTCGCTTCAAGCGAAAACTGCAATGGAAGACATTGAGAAGGCTCTGCACTCCACAGCTGCATGTGCACGATGTCCTTCGTTGGGTTTGTAGAAGTGCATTGTACTTGAATTTGCAACCACCGGCCTTGTTCACAAGCAATACTTGTACCAATCGAGGGGTGTTGCAGGGTGCTTGGTGAGTTTGATAAAGATCCGATGCCTTCAGACCCTTCAGGCAGACGACATCCATCAACAAAAACCGACGTGTTTAATTGGAAGGGCTCCAGATGGCTCCAGGTTTGAAAAGAACTGTGTCCACCTGAGCTCGTTAAGATTAAAACTACATGGACTGGAAAGACCCCGTCGACGAGGCAGACAGATACTCACGAGAAAGCTCAAGGTAGAATAATGAGGGAAGCTTTGGATACTTCCCGAATCCCGCAAGTGGACAAGCCGGCCCTGCTGTGCGCCTTCAAAAAGGATACAACAATAATCAATAATATACAATGGAAAAATGAGACTTTGTTTATCTTTTTTCTGTTGCTTGTCTTTGGCTTCTTCTCAGTTTCTTCCCTCCCATTCCATCTTGGTTGCTTTATTGCTTTCAAACTGAAAGCCCCAAAACATGTCTGTAGAACGAGATTCAGTGGCTGTGCCTCGCATCTCTGATTGTACAATATGTATCAATATGATTCAATATGTTTTTGTTGGTTTCGTGTTGTTTGTTGGTCGAACTGAGTTGAATTGGTGTTCTTGCTGACCTTTTTTGTGCTTGTCATTGCTTGTCTTAGCTGAAGGACATCTTGAATGATTCTGATTGCGTCGAGGTCAACAGCTCCAGCTCTATCCCTCTCGGTTGGCTGCTGAGACCGAGCTGTATTCTCTGAGAAGATTTTGCTAGTTGCGGTTTAGGTATGTTTAGGTAGTGTTCCGCAAAGCGTTCAGCAAAGCCATTCTTACAGCCATTCAAGAGTTCTCATTAGAGGAGTTCTTGCTAGAGCAAATGTACATGTGTGTCTTACATGTGTAAAACGTATGTATGTAATTGTATGTATATTAATATATAATATATCCATACAGTTTTAGATAAGCCAAGAGGGCTTCTCTGATGTGGTCTTCTTTAAATGATGTTGGATCCTTGAAAATTCAGGGAAAATCTGGTCCAAATCCTTCGTGATCCTTTCTTGGATTTGTTTAGCTCCAGCTTTGATTTTACTCTATGGTGTTTTCAGTGGATTCACTGCATGACAAGTGTGGAATGTGGAACAACAACCTCCAGGAGTCACATGGGAAAACTGGGAAAAAGTCAGTTTTTCAATTGTTTTTTGAGTTTTTTGTTGTTTGTTTAGGTTTCTTTAGTTCTTTCCAGTTTTTCTCAGCATTTGCCAGCTTTCTCTAGCCTTTGGCTGCTGACACATCCGGACCAAGTGAAACTAGATTAGGCTAGAAAAGTCAGTGATGGGTGAAGCCCTTCAAGGCAGAGGTTCCGGTCGTGAAATGTGAGGAACGACCTTGGGACACACAGGGGAGCGTATCAGCGCAGCTCAGTGCAGGGTGGGTCAGTGGACTTATTGTGTTTTCTTTAGTTGTTTCCTAGTTTTCTTTAGCCTAATCTAGTTTGTAATTCAAGCTATTTTTCTCCTTTACTAGTACTAGTATGATTTAGAGCGGACCTGATCAAAGCGGCCCTGTAAGGGATTCAATGATACAGGAACCGGTATATTTTTAAGAACATCCTGACATTTCAGTCTGGTTTCAATGTGAAGCATCCTGCTCTAGCTGAATACTTGTAATGTGAGCCTAATGTGCCAAGGCTCGAAGCCAGACCAAAGAGGAGAGAACTGGAACAGTAAAGCCCTTTCAAAGCACGAAGATCAGCACAGCAACTGCGAAATATTCTCTGTTTTTTTTGATGTGAGGCATGCATTATATGTTGACATTTATTGACTGTGTTATGGAAATGAAGTCTTTATCTTTTCATGTGAACAGTTGCATAGTCATGGGGCAGTTGTCTGACGATTATTCAAAGCATAAGACGGGTATATTTAAGATGGATGCATGTTGATGCCCACCTTTTGTATCTTTTTGTACTCCCTGGTACTCTGGATCTAAAAAGTTAAGTTGCTTGCCACACATCCATATGATAAGTCAATAGCCAGGGAAGCAGTGGTGTCACAAAGAACCAATGATACGAAAACGTGCTTTGTTGTTGTACCTTCCATCCTGGTGTTCTGAGTGTTCTGGCTGCTTTGTTTTTTGATCTCATGTTCAATACTGTTCAATCTCATTTGTTTTTCGCGGTGAATCCAGCTGCTGCAGTCCGTGTGGGCTCCAATGTTCCAATGTGCCAATGACTCGTCTTTGTCTAATGAAATTTGTCATTGGAAGATACCACAGTCAGGCATGAACACGTCAATCATCATCAAACCTGAATGACCTTGAGATGTACCATGCAGTACCCCTGTGAATGGCACCGTGATCCACCGCCTGTTTTTCTCTGATTCCTGTCAGCATTTTGATCCCATTGGTGCTCCTTATTTATGTTTAAGAGATTTTAAGAGTTATGATTGATAAGTTTCTGCCTCAGCAGCACGCATCGGTACAGCAGGTGCATTCAGGTATTGAGGTACGGCTACATCAGGTAGGTACCGGTACTGGGTACAGGTACGTGTACGGTAGTTAGGTACGTGCTATCGTACCCATGTACCCTACCCATGTTCAATGTGCCAAATGCAAAGTTGTTCCGAAATGCGGTTGTGTAATGTTGCGTACGCATGTGCCGTACCCATTTTCAATGTATAAAAATGTACAACATGTGTTTCGAAAACATTGGAAAAGGATGGAAAAGGTACTTTTCATGGGTACGATAGCACGCACATAGCGTACCAGAACCTGTACCTTCACACCGTACCCGTGGACCGTACCCGTAAACAGTACACGTAGCTATCGTGTCGTGCCCCATACATGTACCTAACTACCGTACCTGTACTGTCCTTCCTTTCGCCCCTATATAATGTCAAGATACATGGCGTCAAGATAGAGCACAACTCTTCAAGATAATCAATGTGCTCCTGACTCTGGGGTTGTGTTCTGCACATTATCTTGTCTTAACGTGTCTAGCCTAGCTACTTGAACGTTCCCCAAGAGTCCTGATGTTTCAGCACTTTCGAGCAAGAAATGCTTCGAATGCGTTACATCTCTCGCTTGAAAGCTTGTTTAGGAATCTTGAGAACAAAGCTTCTTGTGCCGTTTCAATTTTGATGGAAAATGCGTGTTGATATTGCAATTAAATACATTATATATCATTATATATATATACATTGTATGCAAATAGATTGTAAAGCTCCTCACATCGGCGATAGTAAAGGGTTTTTTGTGATGTTCACATTTTTATTGTTCTTGTTTTTGTTAGTGTTTTTGTTTTGTTTGTTATTGTTTTGTTTTTTTGCATTTTTGTTTGTTGTTGTGTGTCGTTGCTGGAGAGGCACACATTCCCAATCTCTGTGCTCGTCCCCAATCTCGGGCGGGATCGGCGAATACATGAATCATAATTATACGTGTGCGTATGTGTCTATAATATAGATATTATGATATTATATAATACATTATAATAAAAATAGACAAAACATACACAGGCGATCATTTGCATTCAACATGCTCAAGTTGTTTCAAGTTGCCATTCAACTCTTCCCTTTGCCCTTAACATCCCTTAACTAGCCCGTACCGGCAGTCAACCACAGCATTTAAACTTGCGCAGGAAGTGCTGGCCTGGTTCAACGACATTTTGGGCATCACTCTTAGCAACCACGTACTACTTCACCACTTCAGCATTGACGGAATTCAGTGGGGATTGGTCAATGTCGACGCAACTTCAGGATTTTCAGCATTGAAAGCAACTGGAAATAATTTTTGATAGGTTTGCAGTCTATATTTTTTAGTCCGGTGATAAAAGATATCAAGGAGATAGAAACGTTATCCAGTTTTGCCTTTGCAGCATGTCGGAGAAAAAGAAGAATGAGAATCACATAACTTCGCAAACAGTTTTGATATGTTGTTCATTGTTTTTCTTGCTCAGTTCTTGCTGTCCCAAATTCAGCTACCTTAAAACAACATGCAATAGTGCCAGCGCACCTGATCATTTTGATCATCCTGATTTGCTTGTGCGGATTTGTGCGAGCATATGTTTGTCACATTACCTGGGTAAAGCAAGGAAAATCGGAAAGAGCTCTTTCACATATGGAGCAAGCAAGACTAAGGAATCAGAAAACTTTTTGGTAGGTATGCCATCATTCACCTCAAGTGCTTGTATTGCGCAGCATTTTTGGAAGTTGGGCAGCTCTTGAGATTTTGCAATGGCTGAGGAACTTCAGTCAGGAGCAAACTTTGAAGTCTGAAGAATCCGTTGCCAACATGGCCTATGTGATGAGTTTGTCATCGCATAGCAATGAATCGGTCATCTGAGAGATGCGGTGGTTTGCCACAGTTCTGTGCTGCTGAGCTACTGACAAAAGGCGTTGCTGGCTTCAAGTTTGCCAACTAACATGTTGTGATGAGGGTTGCAGGAATACCTCAGTTACATTCAAGTACCGCACGTGATCCACATGTGATCCACATACTGTCAGCATTTGTCAACATCTGTCAACATCTGTCCACCTCCAAGGAAGGGAAGAAATTACGCAGACCAAACCCATGCCCTTAGTATCCCTTGGTGGCCTTTGTGATCTCAGATGATCTCAGTGTGCCAACCCGGAATGCGCGCGAGATTTGGCTTCACCCAAAGGGCCTGTAGCCTGCTTGAACTCCAGGGCCTGAGCCCCCGATCCTCAAGGCAGGAATCTCAAGAAACCTCAAGAACATGTTCTGAAGATGTCTCAAGTATTCTCAAGTATTCTGAAGAATTGATTGCATATTCATGTATTTTGTCGACATCATCAGAACATTATCATATTTGTCATATGTATGCACAACTTCTGCAGACCCAGAGCGGCAGGAAATGAGTTACAGCAAAGGAGTACTGATCTACAACTTCAATGAGGTTTGTACCGGGCTGTGCTTGACTGCGACTACTGCTGTTCAGTACAACTCAGTCAAACTGCTAGCAAGTCACAACAGACATCCTGATGTCATCATGCTTCATGGCACTTGTATCGCTGGAAATGTGACTCTGTTTGGGCCAATGACCGGCAAGAGGATGCAACAGGGAAATATTAAAACGAAGCCCTTGCTGCCGCAGGACCGCTTTGGAGAAGATCTTCAACATGGTCAAAAGTTGCTGCCTTACATTTTGGCTTATATAGAGCGCTTATTACATTTTACTCTACAGTTTTACTAAGTTTTACTTTTCTACTGCTTATCTCCTGCTGTTTGACAGCATTTTGAAGTTGCTGAATGTGCACCACAGAATATCTCCCAACCTGCACTCGGGACATTTGTGGAACTTGGACCATGATGGACTGTATATGATTGCTCCTTTCAGGATTGTCGGAGGTCCAAAGATGAGTGTTTCTCACACCGTTCATAACTGGTGGGGTCCCCAAGCGACCAGACTGTGCCAATGCCATTCCATAGGATCTATACGATTCAAATCGGTTTAATTGCTCTTCGATGCTCTTGGATGATGTTTGCAGTTCAATGCAACAACCTGCAGTGATTTTCCCTGAGCGTAGGAAAACGCCTGCTACCGAAAAGGCCTGGGTTTTGATGTGCTGTGTGTGCGTGCGATAAAATACGATCACAGGTTTGACATGGTTTGACTGTGGTGCCCCTCGATGCCCTTTGCTTGAGCCATGCATAATCTGAATAACTTTAGTGACCATGAAATTCTTCTTAGACATGGGGAGATCCAGGCCGAGATTCCTGCCTTTGGGCTCGATAGGCACCCTGCAATCTCTGCTTTTGTGTGTGTGTGGGCAAACACATGCGCTTTCCGAGAACCACACGCCCAGTTGGTCCCATGACGTTTGATGGTGTTGAACACATAAGACATAAGGCACGTGTTGTTTGGGCACACTGGCGATATGCGAGATCCGTGACAGACTCAGACTCTGTGGGTGAAATAAAGAGCAACGCCGTACATTGAGGCTGCATTTTGGGCAGCCCTCTTGAGACGGTGGGTGTTCCTATGTCTTGTACATATTTGTACATGATTCGTTGATATTTGTGAGCATGCCGATAATACATGCTGTCCGGTCCCATGCTGTCCCCAAATGCAAGAGCTGAGGGGTTCAAGACATGTTGTGGAATGCTGTTTTTGTATTTTTTTCTTTGCAATGGTTTGCATGGACTCCATCCATAGTAGCCGGAGTACATCGAGAATTAGGGCATTCGTTATACAAAATGTTACAAATCCTGCTTTTCCAAGGCACACAAACTTGCAAAAGTCGGAGTTCACCACAGCGAGCCAGTACTTTCTCCAGGAATTCCGTTCATGATTGCGGTGACATAGTTTTACACTGTCATACACTGTCTAAGTTCGATGCTGACTATGTGCCTTTTCCCACATTGTGTCCAGAAAACATGATGTTGCTCGCAACGAAGGAGTGTAGTAACCTGCAGGATCCTGCAGGCATCAAGTTGCATTTGTAATGTGTGGATCTGTTACGCCATTCTGCAGGACCCTGCAAGCATAGCTGGCGTTGGCACCATCACTGCAGATGGCTACACGGAACCATTCTCAGCACTGACGGCTGCCAGTATGGCTTGAGCGCATGTATGTAGCATACAAGATGCGCTCCTATGGTGCAGGCTGATTGTGATAATTGCAGCAACTTTGAGTCCACCAGTCTACCATGGAAATCCATGGAAATCCATGGGTCATTCATGATTTTGCGGCTGCTTAGGTAGGAACCCAGGCTTTGGGATCAGCTGGCAATAAGCCCAACCACTTTGCAACTCAGCAAAAGCTAGAGCATGGAAGGTTTTGGGTGTAATATCTTGGCTTAGTACCCATGTGTGGTGCTGAGGTGGCCAAAATGAGAGCCGGTTGGGGAGACATGCGACAATCTCACGTCTTGGCTTCAGAGTGTTGCAGAGAATGGGTGTGCGTGTCTCTGTCTGTTGTGTGTGTGTGTGTGTCTCAGATGCGTCTAGAGATGGCTTGAAAGATCTTGAAAGTATATTGTAGCGTCTCAATTCAGCACCATTTCAGCATGTGAGACATCATGTGAGAGGAAGACTTCGAAGTTTCTAGGAAAGGACAAGGCTTTCAGACCCAGAGAATCCAGAGCTGGCTCTAAATTTAATAGGTCAACCACACCACTATACTGGCTATCAGGACCAGGATCATGACTTCCATTCTGATCCAGGCATTTCCTGTCCTGTCACACACAGAGTTTTCTCATGCATGTAGCACATGCTTGCCATCCCGAACTGCACAGTAGGTTCTACATGATCATGTCAAGCGCATACTGAAGTGTTCAACGTGTGTTTTTTTTGTTCGGCTGCTTTGAAACACCTGGGCCTGATGCAAATATGAACTTGGCAGATGTTTGCAGGGTGTTTGAACAGCTCAGGCTTTCTGCAAAGACGCAATTTCTGCTCTGATTTGTTCATGCTAAGACTCTTCCAGCCGATAAAGCCAATTTGTAAGGCTCTTCCACCAAACGAGCGTTTCCTGTCGGAGACAAAGAAGGCCTTTGCTCAACCAGGCAAGACACGGCCAGAGGCTTCCACGCTTAAAGGATTTGATGCGAGCCTCGCTTTGGCGCAAAGTTGCTCAGTCTAAATGTTTCAATCATGTCAAAAATTGTTTCATCAAACGTGGGTTTGGGGTGGTACATATCATTTTGCAAGGTACATATAGAAAGGAGAGGAGAAAGGAAGGAAGGCAACTAACCAATGTCTTTGGGGTAAATGCTCCGCCCTCCCCCTCTCCTTGTATGACTCATTTTGACTCTCCATCATTTTGAAATATCTTGCAGAATCTTGCATATACATTGCATATACAATATTACCCCGGTGACCTTGAGAGCCGCCAAGGTTATGTCAGTGCTGTCATCTGCTGTCCATGTTGGATCAAAAGCATGTACAATATTATACAATCATATGCAGTATGACTGTATGACAGTGACAAGCAAGGTTGAGACTTGAGACTGTTTGATGATCTTGTGATAGCCATTGATAGCCTGCATTCCAATTTGGTAACAACCGCTCATGGGCATAGTATCACAGGCGCTGGGTGTGCTTTGCTCATTTGTGCTTTTTCAAGCATGCAGGTGGCGGATTGCAATTTGAGCGTATCCCAAGGCCCAGAATTATATTTTCCGCATTTGTGAATCGAATCTAGGTAAGTAGACAGATAGGTAGATAGATAGATGGGTAGATGGAGGCACTGGCAACTTTCGCGCATGTCCAAAACAAAAGTCTTAAGTGCAAACCGATTTCTCTGTCTCGCGACTCGCGAGGCACTATGAAGACTTTACGCGCCACTATGATGCTGTCAAAGTCACAAGGTGCCCTTGGTACCTAGCATTTGCCATGAAGATTTGTTTGGCTCCTGATCAGGCAATGTTGGCTGGCTCACGATATCATTTGCCGAAGGTTGTTGGAGACATGGCTCCCGATGATGCGAAACACCTAGAGAGACCATAAGGATGATGCTGATGACGACAATGATATTGAAAGATGCTACTGTTCTGTTAAAGAGGTGAGTGGCCCATTTTGGTTTGGTGCTGGCGGTGCAGCTGATGATAACAAAGACAACAGCAATCACGCTGATGGCCACGATGATGGTGATGAAGGGTTTCAAAGCCGGAGCCTGGAGATCACACTGACAATGTCAGTGATGATGATGATGATGATGATGGATTGATGGATTGATGGAGTGATGATTCATGGTTCATGGTTCATAATTCATGATCAGGATTCATGATTCATGATTCATGATCGTGATCATCATCATGATTCATGATGAAGCGGATGCAGATGCGCATGCGGATGTGGCTGCTCGTGGTGGCGGTGCTGGCGATGGTGGTGGGCGGCGGTGGTCGTGGTGGTCGTGGTAGTGGTCGTGGTAGTGGTAGTCGTAGTCGTAGTCATAGTGGTAGTGGTAGTGGTAGTGGCGTCGTTGACGGTGATGACTTCTGTGCTGCGCGATGAAGGCGGCGATGGTAATACAATAGTAGGGGCGGCATGATCTGACACGTCTCTTGATGTTTGCAGTGCTTGTGATCATGGTCATGTGGCGATGAAGCTTCAAAGTGCCTTTCAGCGTTGCAACCTGCACATGTCAAAGATGCAAGATGCATCTACGATGTATTGCCAAAAGTTTCTCCAATAGGAATTAAATGAATGTTGAGGGACTCTCGGAGCAAGTAAGCACAGACAGAACAGATTGCAAGAGACTCCCAACACTGCAATGTTTGCTCGACTTGTATCTTTTATCTTTCTATGATTTTCTACAGTACGCATCAGTACGCATGATTCTACTTTTGTGATCCCCCTTGCTTGATTGTCCACCAAATGCCACTCATTGGGTGTTACAAAATGCCTCCTCACAGTACCTTCTCATAAACGCCAAAAAAAATAAAATGAAAATAGATTGGGGTATTTTTTCTACGGCCAGGCTTTTTATAAAAATCCGGCCGTCATGTATGGATGATAGATTTTACAGATGGCATTAATGTGCATATATTCTTGAAGGGGGGTTCTGGCATCAAGACATTTTATATTTTTTATAGTGGTGTTTGTTGCAAGTCCCAAATATGAACCCTAGCATTTCATAAATACAAAAGACGCCACACAAATGTAGTTTGGACGTGTTGGCATTTCATAAAACCCCCCCAATGCATTTTATAATGCCAAAATGTGGTTTTCCTAGAGTAACTCACTTTATCAACATCTAAAAACGCATATTATTTATGAAATGCGCGGGTAGAGGTGGGTACCATCAAGGCAAGGGGGATCTTTTGTGTTTTCCTGTTCCGTTTGTTCAGGAGCACTGGATTGTATCGCGGAGGCAATCTTCGAAGCCTGGAGCCAAGTTTTGCTGCGCAGTCTTGGACTGGACACAGCTGTGACGGATCCTACTGAGGTGCAGCATCCTTGATGGTGCAATGAGAAGCGTTCAAAGAGGTGAAAGATGTCAAGTTTCATATTGAAGAGGGAAATTGTAATGATATTATATAATATATATTATATATTAGTTATATGTTTTTAATCTCCAGATTTCATGTACAACTACTTTCAGGCAGGTATCCGTCCTGACACAGAAAAGCCAAGGAAGCACCTTAAGGATCTTTACATAGTGGTAGCATCGCCGCTTGTTTGTCCATCAGTAGCATGGTACAAGGACAATGAACAGTACTGTTCACCTGATATCCAACTTATATATTCAGGAGCAAATTCGTGCTTTTGACAGTGAGGTTTCACACTTCTCTAACCTTTCTGTCTTTGTCAGAGTTTCACTCTGGTGTAATGCAGTCTCACCGACTTAAGTTCCAACGTCTCAATTGGATGGTTTCGACATGTTGTTGACTCTTTTGTCTCTTTGACACGTCGTTGTGTTGACTCTGTGCCCTATGACTGCATTGCAGCATCGTTAGCACAAGATTGTGATTGCACCTGTACAAAACTTGTATCCATGTGCATACAGCCTTCTGTCCACACAATCAATGGATCCGCCGTAGCAAGGCAAAAAGTCGCTTGCCTTCAACAACATCATCCTTGTCTTGGAAATGTTCTTGCTACTTCAATTGGTTCAAGATGTTTGTGGGTCATGCAATTGCAATCATTCCCTGAGCGATCTAACTCAGCTTGGCGCTTCATGTACTTAGTGCTTTGTGGGCTGTGCAGATGCATGTGTAAAAATCATGTGGCATCTTGTGGCAATGTTATGAACATGTGTTCATGTATCAGATGAGAGGAGAAAAAAGGACATGCAGACTAGCCTGCACTTCTGCTGTCTAAGTCTCAAGTCTACGGACTGTGACCAAATTCAATTCCTTCGACTGTGGCAGCACTGTGGCCGTGGCAGCATGACAGACTCCGAGTACTCATTCTCCTTGACAACTTTTGCCCCGTCCGGCAAACTCTTGCAGATTGAGTATGCCCTCAATCGTGTTGCAGAAGGTCGTCCTGCACTTGGCATCAAAGCAAAGAACGGCGTTGTGCTAGCCACAGAAAAGAAGGTTACAAGCCCACTCGTTGATGAGAAGACCTTGTCAAAGGTCGAGAACCTCTCTGAGAGTGTGGGGATGGTCTATGCAGGAATGCCAGCCGACTACAGAGTGTTGCTTCGCAGAGGTCGCAAGGTGGCCCAACAATACTACACTACGTACCGTGAGCTCATTCCGGTTTCCCAGATTGTTCGTGAAGAGGCTGCCATCATGCAAGAGTTCACACAGTCCGGTGGAGTGCGACCCTTTGGCGTTTCTTTGATGATTGCAGGCTTCGATGACAGTGGCCCCCAGCTCTTCCAGGTGGATCCATCAGGCACATACTTTGGATGGAAAGCCTCAGCAATCGGGAAGAATCATGTGAATGCAAAGTCCTTTTTGGAGAAGCGATACAGTGAAGACATTGAGCTTGAAGATGCAATCCACACAGCAATTCTAACATTGAAGGAGGGCTTTGAGGAAGCAATCACTGCTGACAACATCGAGATCGGCATTGTTGGAGCGGATAGGAAGTTCCGGGTCTTGACACCTGCTGAGGTGCAAGATTACCTTGGAGAGGTGGAGTAGACAGGATCCCGGAGTGATTCGATGTGTGCAGTGCGGTGTCTAGTTTCAGACAGGATTTAGGCATGTCGTGAACACAGCAGGAGTGGCATTTGTGGCATATGAAGGCTTTGCGCACCATATTGAGATATCTTGAGAGGCAAGGATAGAAACGAATAGAAACCACTGAAAATGACGCGGCCTCAAGCCTTCTCAGGGAAAAAAACGCTTCGCCAGTTCGCTGCTCTCAGTGTCAACTAATTCAAGCAGCCCCTAGGTTCGGCATGAGCCCAGGTGCATTGCTTTGCAAGAACTGATAATTTATAAGGTCCCAAACGAAGAGAAAGGCAATTTGCTCGGCCTGCTTGTATCAGATCTGGCACCTGTCTAGACGTCCAACGGTTCAAGTCCCGTTCAATGGCCCAAGTTCTGCAAGGGGTGGGTACTTGAAAAGCAAGTTTTAGTTTTAGCGTTGTGGGAGTGACCTTTCTCATCCTCACCCCGCCTGTAGCAGATGCTCTACAAAAATTGGTCCACTCACCATAGGCAGTTCTTATCATGTCCATTCTGTTCAGGTTTGATTTTCAGCAATAGCTCAAGGGCTTGATTGCTGCGTATCGCCATGGCTTGACTGGCGAGTGATCCTCAGACCCTGATGCAATCAGCTTCAAGCCAGCACATATGAGCTTTGTTTTCCGTCCTGGGCAACCAAATGCTCAAAACTGGAAATCATATTGCACAAAGAGGAGAATTCAGAAGACGCTAGGTAGCTCATGACACGCCACAGAGTGAGCTAGGGCAGGAGGGTGTAGTGGCAACTTGGGGCACTTGCACTAGACACCATATACACCATGCCATGAGTGCCATGCGCCACGATGGAAACAGGTTTGTTTCTAAATCATTTGAGCATATCGGAGCAAGGCTTGTTTGCTCCACATCAATCCACTGAGCACGTTGAAACCTGGGGCAGTCATCGAATCAAAGCGCAACTGGCAAACCGAAGGCATCCAAAGGCATGATAAAGATGTTGCTGGAACATGCTGGAACACATTAGACCATGTTAGACCATATTAGACCCTCATTCCCCAGAACACAGCTTGTCTTTCCCAGGTATCAAATGCTTTATCTTTGCTGCGTGGCGCCACCATTTCGAAGGTGCACTTTGAGCCAGCTGTTGTACAACTGATCAATATGTTGAGTCAACATCTAGTGATGAAGGAAACCAGACAGCGTAAGTGTGGATTTCAAGACACGACGTGAGAAAGAGCAAAGATATAGAACGAACCTTGTACGTTTATATAATATATTTATATATATATATAGTAATATATATATATATAATTTTGTGAAATCCCCTTGGGAGCATTGATTGGAATCCTCAGGCATGTGACATCCAGATGTGTGTCCTGCGTGGCCTGGCTCAAATCAGGCCTAAGCCATAACTTGCTACGTTTGCAGGTGAAAAGGTGTGCGTCCGAAGCCATCTCGCCGTGATTGTGCTTCCACAGTGGCACCGGAGCCTGAGTTTTGCACCCAGGTCTTCGCGCTGTGCAACCTCCGCTTCGATTTGCTTACTTCCTTTTTCATCCTATCCCTAAGAGTTTGAGTTGGTTGATTGCGCTGACCACCTCACAGCGGTCTCTGTGGGGAAGGGTGAGCTCCTGTTGGAATTTGACTTCATTACTGGCTAAGTCATTGTGGAGTTGGAGACCAACCCAAATCTTGGTTCCTGCGGTGCCAAGTGTGTTTGCTGGCAACTAGGCCAGCCTTTTTGCAAAGGGGCTGACGAGCACTGCCTTTTGGACTTGGTTCGCTGGCAACTAGGCCAGCCCCTTCTGCGAAGGTGTTGAACGAGCCCTACAAGCCTTTGAGTTTTTTCCCTGTTTGGGAGCCTTTTGCGTTTTTTTAACGCCATTTTGGCCATGGCTGAAGATGAGAAGGGAACATCTAGCTGGTACAAGGTGCCGACTTGGAATGGAAACCCTCAGGAGCAGTGGAGTTTCAAACGTGAGATGGGCTGGTGGATTGCAAGTTTAGATCCTGAAGCATGCCGAAAATTCAATGCGGCTGCAAGGTGGACTTTGCGTCAGGTTGGAGCGGTTAGAGCCAGATGTGACGAATTTGATCCTGACGAACTTGCAGGAGCCGCTGAAGTTGTTTCCAACGACCCTCAAACAGGTGAGAAACGAGTCCTCAAAGAAGCCGATCCGTTTGCAGGGATCAAGACGCTGCTCAAGGCGTTAGAAGAAAGCATGGGCAGAACAGAACTTGACAGGAAGGGAGAACTCAGAAAGCAGTTTTATCAGGAGATTCGCAGAAACCCTGGAGAGCGCATTTCTTCCTTCTGCACAAGGTTACCGACCCTTGACGGCCGAGATGAAGCGTGAAGGCATCAACTTGCCTTCAGGTGAGCTTGGTTGGTTTTTGAGGGACAGGCTTGGACTTGATGCCATCAGGTCCCAGCTCCTTGAAACTGCACTTGCTGGCCGTGATGGTTACGATGATGTGGAAGCCGAAGCTTTGCGTTTGTCTAGGCATATCCACACCTCTGACCCCTTGCACAAGAAGCAGTTCGATAGACCTCCTTTGCTGCAGCGTTTTTGATGCGTGGTGCTTCAATGTCTTCAAGAGTGGCTGATGCTGTTGGAAGACTTGCTGAAGTTGATCAAGAGGATGTTGGAATTCCAGAGATGTCCGAAGCTTCACGAAAGAGGCCTCCTGATGTTCAAGTTGAAGAACTACAAGACAATCAGCCTGCGTTTGAAGCAAGACCCCGACCTGGTCCTGCCTGATGCCTTGCTGACATCAGTGTTAAACCAAGGTGAACATCCGCTGAAGCTTCTCCAAGAACAAGCCGAACGTGAAAAACAATCTGATCATGCGGTTCATGACAATGGCACTTGGCATGGAATTTGGCCATTGCCTTCAAGATCTGAATGGAATGCCCGGCGTCACCATGGACTTTTGTGGCCCCGAGGCAGTCATGAAGTTGATGCGGTGCAAACTGCGAGAAAGGAGTACAAGTGGAAGGACATTCCAAAAGCTGACCGTCCTGCTTTTCATGCTGCAGCCAAAGCCGGATGGCAAGTTTGGGTGGACAATGGAGCAGTGGAAGTTCTATCCAAAGCTCAAGCTGATGAAGTTCGAGCGCGTTTGAAGTCCACTGGCAAGCAGTCATGCTTGTTGACTCCAAGGTTTGTGTACACCGACAAACATGATGGCTTGCGCACTCCTTCAAAGCCCCTTCCGCTGAAGGCGAACGCGCGATTGGTCGTTCCAGGCTTCCAGGACATCACAGCCTATCTGGTTCGAAGAGATGCTCCAACTGGAAGCAGGACCTCCCACCACTTTCTCCTCATGTACACGGCCAGCAAGCGTTGGTTGCTTTTCAGTGCAGATGTAAAGAGTGCTTTCTTGAAGGGTGAAAATTTTGGTCCTGACGAAAGAGAGCTTTATGTGAGCCAGATCCGAGTATCCTCTCCTGATGAACCTCTTCTTCCTCTTGGCGAAGGTGGACTTGCAAAAGCCAAGAAAGGCATATTTGGTTTGGCAGACTCACCTCGACGGTGGTATCTACGTTTGAACAAGTCAGTGACCAAGCTTGGATGGGTTCGATCTGAGCTGGATGCTGCGCTATGGTTTCTGTGGAGTGCTGATGGTACAACTTTGGATGGCTGGTATGCTGATTTCCCATGTTGACGATTTGTTGATGGGTGGAAATGCAAGATCCCATGAATCGTTGCTGGAGCTTGGGCGAGAGCTAGGTTTTGGATCGCTGGAATCTGGCTCCTTCACCTATTGTGGCAAAAAGATCAAGCAGCTTGCCGACTTTTCCATCAAGGTGAGCATGGTGGAGTATCATGAGAACCTGAAGCAGATCCCTATGACTGGCGATCGCAAGAAGCAGCTTGATCAACCGAACACCGTCAGCTCCAAGGACTGCTTGGGAGCTTGCAATGGTTAGTTTCCCAACTGAGGTTTGATCAAGGGTTTCCGTTGTCAACACTCCAGTCTGAAAAGCCTGTTGCTGCTACGATGTTGAAAGCAAACAGTCTGGTTAAGAAGGTAAAAGCAAGTTCTAAGTTTTCCCTGAACTTCAAGCCTATGGACCTGGACAAGTGTGGCCTGGTCACTGTTTCCGATGCGGCATTGGGCAACGTTTCTCCAGATGGCAGCATTGGGGAAGATGTTTTTTCTCGAGTGCATAGCCAGGCGGCTTATGCCATTCTGATTGCGGATGAGAACATGCTGGCGGGCAAGGAGGGCAACTTTTGCTTGATTGACTCGCGGAGGCATAGGCTGGCGAGAGTGTGTCGCTCGACGTTTGCGGCAGAGCTCATGTCTGCGGAGGAAGCCTTGGACTGTGGGGAATTTTGTAGAGGGATGTTTGCTGAGACGCGTGGCTACAGCGTGGATAGGCGCAATGTGGAGGCCAGCAACAATGCGATCCCAATGATTCTGGTGGTGGACGCAAAGGACGTGTTTGATAAAAGCACGAGTGACACGCCAAGCTATGGAAGCCAAAAGAGCCTTGCGTTTACGATTTCCTGAATCAGATCTCAGCTGCGCCGACCCAATGTGGAAATCAAATGGACGGCAACCCAGAACATGCTCATCGACTGCGGCACGAAGGAGATGGATGGTGAATATCTATAATATCTGAGAAGTGTCTTAGAGACCGGTAGATGGTGTTTCAAGTACAGCCCGGCAAGGAGCAAAACCTTTGAAATCTGTAAAGAATGCATGTGCTCCTGAGCCGACAGTACAGGCAGGTCAGAAACTAGAACTAGACAGTTCTGATCCAATGTTTGGACACCTGCTCACTTTGAGCGATCAACCTGGATGGCATTCATTTGCTGATTTTGGAGTTCATGTTGCCAAGAATGCACGGTCATTTAGGTCCCCAAAGCCACGTTTCGATGTTGTACAGTTTCCGCGGAGATCGACATATGGTAGGCTCATGGATCATGAAGGCCGAGCTGAATGGAAGCTCCTTGAGGACAAAGTCAAGGTAGCTGATTTGAAGAATTCGCAAGCTTTAATTGGCAACACAGCAGGTGTCCTCATCACATGCTTTTTGCCAGATTCCAATCAACAAAGAAATGATACCAGCTCTGAAATCCCCTTGTGAGCATTGATTGGAATCCTCAGGCATGTGACATCCAGATGTGTGTCCTGCGTGGCCTGGCTCAAATCAGACCTAAGCCATAACTTGCTACGTTTGCAGGTGAAAAGTTGCGCGTCCGAAGCCATCTCGCCGTGGTTGTGCTTTGGCAATACATATATCTTGTAAATCTTGTAATAGAATAATACTAGATGCTGGTTCTCACAAACTTAAAATCCACCTTTCCGCTACACTCTCGTGAGGTTCGCTGGGGTCCTGTCTACGCTGATGTTCGCTGCATAGCGAGGATTCGCATCAATCGCTCCTCAGCGCAAGATTAAATATGATCAGATGTGATTGAAACCGATCAAACATTAGTAATTATTGGACTCTCCTACAGTCTACTAAATTATATAAAGTATGATAAAGTTATGTGAAGCTTCAGCTATGCCCAGTCACGAGGAGAATGAGACCCTTGAAAATCCGCTTGTGTCATGCTTCAGGAAACACGGGAGTGAAAGCTGTGAAGATGAGCCCTCCGAAGACAGAGTGGCAGGTCCACATTGAATGGTTTGATCTTTGTTTTTGCAAATTGTCAGTGTTTGTCGATGTTTATAAAGATTTAGCTGATCTTGATTTCTGATTTGCAAGTTGAAGTTATTCTCAAGTGATCACATTCACCTGGCATCGCTTTCCATAGACAAACGCAAGGCCGCAGCTGAAAAGGAGTTCCTCCAGATGCGCGCCCGAGTGCCCAAAGATGAGCCGCTTGGATCCGCTTGGTACTCTGTGTGAGCTCTGTCTGAACAACTCCCGGTACTCTCTGTATGAGTCCCTTTGAGATGCATGTTTATCCTGTTGGTCGCCTCAAACACCGCAATGTACTGTATCACATGGTTGCTCACATGAGCACGGATTCGAAGTAATACTGACTGTGGACGTTTTGCTCCTATATGTGCTCGTATGCATGTGTACATGTATAATCTATAATCTATATATATAAACAGACATACACCTTCAGGAAAATGAGAGATACACCAAGGCAGAGGCAAGCAAGATATGCAAGCTGCATTGAGACGCATTTTCTCTAGTAATCCAAAGTGCAAAGCTTTGGGAGTAGAAATCGTAAACCAGTGTTAACCAAAAGTGCTGGATTCTGCCGCTTTATTTCTGATTTTCCATGCCATTCCTTGCCAAAGGTGAATCCGTACAGATGGCAACTATCTTGCATGAAACTGCAGAGATACTTGCGACCCATGTCACAGGGAGCCGTGTTGTCGTCAAAGGGGAATACGACGGAACACACGTAATATCAGGCCAACATCTGATGCCACATACGCATGTACATTTTACATGAACTGTACGTGTGACGTGTATGGATGGATGGATGCATGCATGCATGGATGCATGGATGGATGGATGGATGGATGGATGGATGGACAGATTGATTGGTAAATAGATAGATGTGGGTTTATGCAAGCACAGGGGCATCACGCAATACACGTTAAAATATATGCAATGCAACGCAACGCAATGCAATGATATGGTATGTATTAATGTGATGTTATTTGATGTGATGTAATGTAATGACCCCCGTGGGGTGCTCCAAGATAAAATCATAGGGCTTGAGCTCCCGATATTTCTGATGTTTTTTTCATGTGTTTTTTGGTGGGTTGGACCCGAAGGTTCTATTTTCTGGGGAGGCCTTTTGATCAGGATCTCAACAGGTTCTGCACTTGGATGGGAAATAGGTTGGGACCTGCTAATTTTATTTTTTGCCTGTGTCCGTTGCAATAATTTTAGGAAATAATGTGCTATGTATAAGTTTGAATAGAAATGGAGAGAGAGAGTGAGAGAGAGAGAGAGAGATTTTTATTTAAAAAAAAGAGTCTGGCTTGCTATGTCCTCAACCAACGTCAAAAATCTAGGTTTCAAGAATACTCCCGAAAACTCACATTTACGTGTTGGGGCCATAGACTTAGACAACCAAATGTCAAGAAATTCAAACCCCGATCGGATGTCGTAATTCAAGTTAAGTAAAGGTTAGTTGACAGCTAAACACGCAGCATGAAGTACAATCATGGATTTGCCGGGCAAAATTGTAGTTCTGCAATCAAGCCCTTTCAGCTAACTTGAACCAGGCCTTAGTCCAAGGGTTGGGCACCTGCAAAAACATAGTCGAATATTTACCAAAAAAGGCATTTATACTTATATCATACATCTATGTACATCTTTGAATGTATTTCCATAAAACTATAGTCACACACACATGTGTATATATAATATATATATATACATATATACACATACAACAAGTAGGTAGTAGGACCTTGGGGGCCTGTTAATTTTATTTTTGACCATCCTTGGTAAGAACTTGGAGGCATGTTGATTTTATTCCCCAGATAGCGAAGCTATTAGGGTTAGAAGAAACTTAGGCAGGCAAAGGTCGAAAAAATCAAAATATTTAATTTGTCATTTGTCGTTTTTGTTGTCATTTTTTTGTAATTTCAGTTTTGTCTTTCATTTTTTTTGTCATTTTTTGTCATGTCAATTTTGTCTGTCATTTTGATTGTCATTTTTGTCATTTTTGTCTTTGAATTTGAGTTTTGGTCTGCCGTTTTATTTGTATTTTTTGTAATTTTTGCAGGTTGCAAAAATTGCATTTTTCTCGAAACGTTGTCCTTTTCCAATTTTTCTGACAGAAATTGCATCAAAAAATGACCCAAAAAAAAGGACAATTTTGCAGGTTGCAAAAATTGCATTTTTCCCGAAGCACTGCCATATTTTTGTCATTTTTATGTCATTTTTCAAATAATTTGATACTTTTCAATATTTTTGAAAAACCGCGCCAAAATGACACAAAAATGACAAGAATTCCACCACATGACCCCAAAAGAAAAGACAAAAAAATGACAATTTTGCAGGTTGCAATCAAGTGATTTTTCTCCAAGTATTGTCATTTTTGTCATTTTTCCGCAATTTTTCGAATAATTTCTGATGTTTTGCATATGTTTGAGCAAATTGCACCGAAATGACAGAAAAATGACAATGCCTCGAAAATGCCATTTTGGCAACCTGCAAAATTGCAAGTTTTTTTGCATTTTTTGGTCATTTTTCCGCTATTTTCCGAATAATTTTTGCTATGCTTGCACATGTTTGAGAAACTTGCACCGAAATGACAGAAAAAAGTGACAATGCCTCGAGAAAAATGACATAATTTTTGCAACCTGCAAACTTGCCATATGTTTGTCATGTTTTGTCATTTGGTGGAAATTTTGTATATTTTGTTATTTTTTGGTGTAATTTTCTACAAAATATAGAAAATATCAAAAAAATGTTCGATAAATGACAAAAAATGACGACAAAATGACAGGCAAAAAATGACAGAGCAAAACTGACATGACAAAAAAAATGGCAGGTTAAAACTGAAATGTCAAAAAAATGACACAAAAGAATGACAGGCAAAACTGACATGGCAAAAAATGACCAAAAAATGAAAAAATGACAGGCAAAACTGACATGACCAAAAAAAATGGCAAAAGAAACGGCAAAAAAAATACAAAATAAATATTTGAACCATCTCCAGGGTATGGCTGAGAGCTTCTTCTAATATTAGGGTTCTTACTTCAATTATATAGGAGGAGTTGCATGTCGGCGTTTTGGAGCGGGCATGTTGGTGCCGCTGCAGGGTGCTGCTTGCTGCTGTCAGAGAGGTGTGTGTGTGTGTGTGCTTTGGAGCGGGCTTGCTGGCGCCGCTGCAGGATGCCGCTGCAGGGTGCTGCTGTCAGAGCGGTGTGTGCGCCTTGAAACGGGCATGCTGATGCAGCTGCAGCGTGCCGTTGCAGGGTGCTGCTTCATGGGTGCGGTTAGACTGGAGCTGGCCTATGCTGCAGGGCCGCTGCAGGGTGCCGCTGCAGGTGCTGCTTGCGGGTGCTGCTGTCACAGTGGTGTGCGCTTTGGAGCGGGCATGCTGGTGCCACTGCAGTTGAGCGTGCGGCGTGCGCTTTCGAGCTGCGCTTTGGCAGCGGCCGCATGCTGTGCTGCAGGGTGCCACGTGCAAGGGTGCTGCGTGCGTGAGTTGTGGTGTGGGTGTGGGTGTGTGTGTGTGTGTGCGTGCTTGTGGTTCCCCCAGATTGGGGTCTTTGATTTAGTTTTATTTTTCAAGGACCTAATCCCCCCCGGCACCACAAGGGGCTTGTAATGCAATGTAATGTAATGTACGGACGTACTTACTTGTGAATGCATACATATACTCGCAACGCAACTGTTGATACGCTCAATTTGGCGCTGTTTACTCATGGACTTGGTCACTGAAACTGAACCCACGCTTGCACGCTGCTGCCATGACTTCAGCCTCTGTGCAGTGTGTTGACACTCAAAGCAATCAGAACCACAAAAAGGGTCCTGTGCCTGTACACAATTTGAGCTAAGCATTTGATGCCTTTCG